ATGATCCCATTAACGATAGCCAAATGGCGGCCGCTTTAAGGCCGAAAATGCATTGAAATCGCACATTTTCACCATTCCGAACCCGGATCTCAGTTATGCATGGACGGATTTTGTTCAAATTCGGTACTTACATTAAACATAATAGGACCTTGATGCACGTCATTTTTTTTTCGGATCAAGTTCGAAATGGCCGACTGGCGGCCATTTTCTTAAAGAATTCAGTTCTGGATCCGTATCCAAGACATGTCTGGATTGATCAAGTTCAAACTTCACACACACATGGTGCATCATGTCACAAATAGATATGTGCATTTGTTTCATGATCCGCTTAGCAATAGCTGAATGATGGCCATTTTAAGGCCGAAAATGCATCAAAATCACGTATTTTCACAATTCCAGAACCGGATCTCAGTCATGCATGCATGGATTTTGTTCAGATTTAGTACAATGTGTTGTACATATGCAGGTGCATTTCGGTCATGATCTGCTTTGAATGTATATGTCACTCAAATATGAACGGAACGGGGACGTGTCATTGACAATGACTTGTTTAAATTGAATTATATGCTTACTTGGAGACTTCCTGCCACTCTTTCTGCAGGACAGCAGAAGATTGCAGTTTTTCTAAAAATTTCTTGCGATGTCTGATGGCACCACAATGTAGACTTTTAACTATTGGAATACCAAGGTGGCTGTATGACGGCATAAGTTTGGGACGCTGAAGAAACTGTCGTGGCTTCATACCTATAGGAAAAACATTACCAAGATAATCATAATTGAGGCCATGGCTTTAATTAAAAATCAATTTGTTAATGGATGACTTCAGATACGTGAAGTGTGGGTGCGGCTTTAATTACGGCATTCACTTCAGTAACAGTGAAAATGTTTTTAGAAAAGAAACGCCTGAATAGATATTGAGATTTATTTTTTTTAATTTTGTGGTAACGAAAAGTATATTCTAAAAGAAGTTTCAATTAAAAATAAACAAGAATGCATTGCGAATAACGTAAGTGATGAATAACTTACTTGTTTTCAAAGTGTTGCAATTGTTGATTAGTACTCAGTAGTGATTATAACGTACAAAAAATAAATTTGTTGAATTGCAAGTAATATTCAACTTAGTTTCATCGTAGGCGAATGATTAGTCACATGTAAACGTTCAATGCGATGCATTATGTGTTCGAATTACAATAGCTCATTTAAATATGTAAATGACAGTTTTGTGACTTCATGGTGAATGCAACACGAAAGATATTTACCGATGTTGTAGTGGGATCAATTTGGGCTTCGATTTTGATGGGAAAACGACATGATTTTTTTTTACTCAAGAAATTAGTTGTTTTCGAAATATAAAGAATTAAAGAAGAACTTTTTATGGTGATAACCGCTCATTGTCGAAACTTTTGTAGCATTCAGGTCTGAATCATTTGTAAATTAGTATTTTTATAATATACACCATACAAATTTAGATATGTTACACAGATGACCAATGATTAGTGATGTCACAAGAATGATCCACACCCAATACTAACATTCAGACTCATTTTGGATAAGCCCATAATGAATCATGTACACATGTAAAGTTGATGCCAGAATATCTACCACTCACAAGCATCAAGCATTATGCAATGTGAAAGATTAACTTACCATGTTCATCTGTGATTAATTTCATACATACAAATGTACTAAAATGCATTAAAAGATTATAGAATTTATCACCTCCAGGAGATAAAAACATGGAAGGTACAATTCTTGGGAGATTAGCCTCGGGACACTCCTAAACAGAAAGCAACAACCACAGGTTTTATCAGTTAATAATATTTAGACCAGATACCAATTTTGCCACTGGCAAAGTCAGTGAATACTACAGTTGAATGCAGTAATAACACTATGATATGTCTGTTCAAAAATCAAGTTATTTGTCAACTCTTGTAAACATGTTCATCAGGTGGGTGCTCTCTGGATTTTTATAAATGTTAGTTAATGTAATGTAGAAGCTTACTCATAATTGTTGAGAAAGTTGGTCATAAATCTCATGACAATGTTCATTAGTGTATTGTGTAAAACTATTGTGTAATTTCATGGTGCCATGAGACAATAGCTTTCTTTTGTGTGTTACAGTGACATATTTCGAGAAACTTGCCTTAATATTTTTCAAAAATTTCTATTTTTAGAACAATTCCATAGAGCCACAATGTAAAAAAAAAATTGCATTTTTTGCCACTTTTGAAATAATTGAAAACAAAAAGTACCCCATCATTAATAATATTTAATTTGTTCAGCCTATGTAACCAGCCTACAATTTAAGACACAACATTATCTTGCTCACAGTAACTTCATAGTAAAAGCACTATAATACTGACAAAATGGCTACTATCCACTAAAATACAACAATCATTTGCCAAAAAATAAGCTGGTGACCCCCAACATTTTTTGTTCACTGCGAAATAATGGCATTGGCCATCATCAAATGTTTTACAGCACATTATTAAGTTTGGAAATATCAAAAAATATTTGGTCTATTCATATTATCGCAATTAAACAGCAGAATGTCATAGGTTATCACAATTGCATTACCTTGGCAATGTGCTGAATCCAGTTACTGACAGTTTTACGAAATTGTTGTTCTTGTTTCTTATCAGCGACTGGCCAACAATCTCTGAAATAAAAGGGATGATGATTATGGTGTACATCTAGACAAATTACAAATATAACATTTCAATTGGTTTGTATTACAAACAATGACAACAAGAATAGAACATGTCTTGTATGCAATACAGATGAATTAGACGATGAGGAGTATTTTCTTATCAGATGCAAACAGCATAAAAATGAAAAACAGACAGGATTTATTAAATAAGCTAAGTATGCAAAATGCAAACAAATAATACTATAAATTCAAACAAAGAGAGAAAACATAAAACATTTGCAAATTCTCATTCAATAATGCTTTTTTTTGTGACTTCTGTTTAATTATTTGTTAGTGTCTTTTTTGTAAAGTAATCAAAATTCTATTGAAGACGCGCATAAATAAAGATTATTATTATTATTATAATACAAAGTGTAAACAAACTAGAATCTCTAAATATTCACTATGTACATCAAACCCATACGTTATATACATACCTGAATTGTTCTGCAGCCATTGCCGGGTTAAGTTTCTCAAACAAGAAATGTGTAACAACTTCAAATCCCTTCTTATTTGGCAATGCAAACATTTCACTGTAACCAATTAGCAATTTGGATTAATTAAGTTTGTTGAGTATAGTGTTTAACCGATCAAGTTTTTTTGGTCAAGATAGTGTGAAATTGCAAACATACATAAATGTATCATAGTAAGGGGATGTTCTTTTGCCTTAAGACCTAAACTGTAATTAAAAAAAAAAAAAATCTGACACCAATCTAGGTTATTTTTACTTATTTGTCAGTGTCAAATGATCTCACGAATATTCATGAGTAATATTGATGAACTTGAAACAATACTGATGGGTGAAAATAATTCAATTCTTATCAAATTGATTGGATCAGTACACACCTCCATTTCACGTAGTGTTTGCGTATAATTGTCAACATCACTGCACAAGTTTATATGTTTATTTCCTTTTCTCAAGCATGTTTTCAATTGTTTCTGCTATGATTTTTTTTAGTGGTCTTGAAGCAAAAATGGCTCTCCTAAACACAGTAATATGCAAGTGATTATTGGATCCATTGCTGTATACACCACAGCAGTGTGAACAGTGGGTCTACTTTTCTTATATTGTACCAGTGCGGTGTGAACAATGGATCAATTTCTGTTGTACCATGGAGGTAGAAAAGAGAAGGAGTGAGGACGCTATTTAAGCCCATGTTAATCTTATAAACATCCTTTGTCTTCGCTCTGGTTAAGCCACTTATTGTTTTTGTTTAGAAGTCGTTTTATCTACATGATGATAGCCGCTTATTTACACAAGAAAACGAGAGTAGAACTGAAAAAAAAAAAATTCCGTTTAAACATCATCTATAAAATTGAATGCGCAAACCATAAATAAAAGAATTGTGCATGTGCAATGACCTTTATCGGATCACAAAGGTCATTTCACACTTATAGATAGCGGAAATTCTGCATACGGATGCTACCAAGATGTGTGATTACTTCTTTTCTGGTATTTTTCATCACAATAGTCGTCCAACTTTGGACATTGATTAAAAAAATCCCGCAAATTTCCGCAGTGAAATTTAAAGTTACATGATAAGATTATAACAAGATGTTTTGACGAGTCCTTTTTCATTGGTGTGCAGAACTGTGCAGATGTTTAAAATCGCGCATTTTGTTGTAATAGATTTTGGGCGTTGAGTACATTCAGCGTACGTCTTTCGCTGCATTTTGTATTATTGTTATCTGTTTGGGCATGCGCAGTGCGTTGAGAATTTTCGTGAAGCTTCCGAATACAGCCGAAACACGTAAGCCGATTAACTGTGACATTGTACAGCGTGTTTGCAAAATAATTACAATGTGTACCGGTATGTGAGTAAACAAATCCAAAGCATCATGAAACCAGCGGAAACAATAGCGTCCTCACTCCTCCTCTTTTCTACCTCCATGGTTGTACACACCACTGTAGTCTCAACCCAAATATTTAGGTTTATAAATATATTTATTTTATATTTTATTATAACTTACATGGACATGCCAGTGCCGACTTTAGCACACAGGCATACTACTAAATCATTATTACAAACATGTGTTTTTTTGCTAGTAACAAAACACAATAACGAAAGAATAATCTCAACTGTAGTATGTACGTACCTTGTGAAGGGGATCCTGTGCTTGGCTTCTTCTCTGGTTGCTTCAAACCCCAGCAGCAAGAGATTGTTGAAAAACAATTCCCTTGCTGCTCGCCGAACACCATGTTTTGACTCAATTGTCGTATTCATTGCGAGAATAAGTGTTCTTCTTCAATAACGGACTGAAATGAACAGACATGTGCTATAATATTGCCAGCAATCACACTCGACTGACAAGTGCCAGCCAGGAACAAGTCAAAACACGAAGAAAACGTCACCCAGTTTGAAAGTGATCAAGAAAGTGACTACTTTACAGATATTGCAGGCGCTGTGTTATAAATTGGTTATAGCGATTCGCCAAATTTAGTATTTTTTGAGAAATTGGCAACTTGTGCTTTGACAGGTGTCCAGAAGCGTTATTTACGTCTATAGATTTATGCCACAGTGGCACGATGATGGGAAAAAACACGTTCTGGATATCACAAACAAGACGATACATCATACACGTGTAAACAAATCATGATATTTGATGCTTGTCATGTATCAAAATATTGAACAGGTTATACCGTGTATGACTTTAGTGAAAAACTTTTCCTTTGTTTGAAATATTACGAAAAAAAAACATTCTGGCAGAAACTTTTAATCTCACCTCCGCCATGTTGAATCTCCCCGCCAAGCATTGCATGCTGGGAACTCAGAAAAAAACATCTTAGTAATCCATGAAAAAAATGTGAAAGTATGAGTGCACTAAAAAGTGTGTAAATATAAAATCAGTTACGGTATTGATTTTTTTCTAGCCAAGTGTTTTTGTAATTTAGCATCCTCCATGAAGAATGGAATCGTCCATGTAAAAGTTCAAGTTCAAAGGTTACTTGTTATCAACTTCGTAAAAATGGTTCTTGTTGGCGTGAATCGGTTTGTTGTCGTAGGAGTGAGACATTTTTCTACCTTCCATCGGATTGGTAAGTTTAGTAATCACCATGAGTTAATGCGTCAGAACATTAAAAAATTCGCACTCTCAATGCTAGCTTCGTATCGGAAATACGTGTGCGTTTTCCTTCATGCGGAAGCCTTGGAGCACCGCGCAGAGAATGTGTCCCAAGGCTAAAGAGCATTTGAACATTTGACAATAATCTATTTCTCAAAACAATTTATGGACAATAAACCATAAAAAAAAACTTAGAAAACAGACAAGCTTTGAATTCAAACTATGGCTTCTCCAAACTTAGTACTAAATCTGCGTTTCCATAGAAACAAGTCTAGCTGACCTTATATTTTTTCAGAACTGAAATAATTAGTGCATAAATTAAAGGTAAAGTCAAAGCTGCAGTTTAGTTTTAGTTTGTGCATGGATGGACATTATAATATCTATTGTGCACATAGTCCTTGATCCATGGTGTTGTCAGAGTGGGCGATATTTACATTCGGTCATCAGATGTCCACTCAAACATCGATTCTGATTTTTGTATAGTGAAATGTAGTGGACACATATCAACCTAATGCTGTTTGGAGCAAACACAAACTAATAATGACTGATATACACTCAATTGGTTAAATTCTTGTGTACAGGAAATCAAAGTTAGGGTAATGCTCATGCATACTGTAAAACCATTTATTTTTATTTTCATTTTAACTATTTCACTGAATTTTAAGTTCACGAACTTGGCAGGTAAACAATGAGTTTTATTTTATTTCACATGTTCACATGGATTTAATTTAGCAGATTTTTTGTATCAGTAAATACTTATTGGGTTCACAGTTTTGAGTTGCACGTTTAGCTCATTTTACTATGGCAGGATCAATGTTTTAGTGGACAGCCGAAGACCAAATGTATTCATCACCCACTTTGACAATGTCATGGATGGCATTCCTATAGAACATTTTTGTAAGAGTTTGCATGGTTTCAATTCACTTGTGTTCAGGTCTTATCATTACTATCAATATTTAAAAGAATATTTCTGATACAATTAAACTTTGGTAAACGACAGACATATACATAAGATGTAAGATGTATATGTAAGATGGCCGCCATAACATTAACAGGGCTAGTAAATCTCCTCTGCTAAAAGTTGTGGAATGAGACGGTAAGAAGGAAGATCTACTGTTATTTTCTAGTGTAACTTGATTCTAAAGTTAACCAGACTACATTGATGTAAGAATGGAAAAGAAGGCGAATGAAGAAACAGCGAAAAGGGTACCAAAACCACGCAGACATTCAAACTTTG